AAGCTGAAAAGCTCCGAGTTGAGAGGGTGGTCAACACCCTCCGGCGGGGCGAATACTCTACCAACACCGTAGAAGAGACAGCCGGCTACCTTCTGGATGTCCACGTCCCAGATGACCGGGAGAATGAGGATACAGATAGTCAAATCACAGTTAGGGAAAACGCGCAAGTTGCGCCAAATACGGCCGACGCTCCCCATCTTCACGGAGCGAGAAGTGGCCGAGGTAGTTAAAAGTTTTAAAAATAGTAAAGCACCCGGACCTGATCTAATCGAGGTCAGTGTCTTGAAAGTAGCATGTAGAACAATCCCCGGTCAGATAGTCAGGTTATTCAACGGGTGCCTTCAGTGGGCGTCTTTCCCTCGATTTGGAAGGAGGGCTCATTACGAGTTCTTCTGAAGAGCGAGGACAGAGACGAGAAGGACCCGAAATCCTATAGGCCTATATGTCTCCTCTCTGTAGTAGGGAAACTTCTCGAAAAGCTTATTAAGCTTCGCCTGGAGGACACGTCGATGGCGCCTGATAAGGTCTCCGACCGGCAGTTCGGGTTCACGCCCGGAAAGTCGACGGAAGATGCTATCGTGGAGTTGCGGAGGATGGTCTCTGCCTCTGAAGAGAGGTATGCCGTCGCCCTGCTCTTTGATATTTCGGGTGCTTTCGACAATGTCTGGTGGCCCCTGGTCTTAGATAGCTTCAAAAATAGGAACTGCCCCAAGAACGTTTTTGGAGTGCTCCGGAGCTACTTCAGCGATCGAAGGTGCAGATTGAATTAGGGCACGGAGAAAGTTCTCAAGCAGGCAACGAGGGGGTGCCCGCAGGGCTCCGTTCTCGGTCCCACCTGCTGGAACGTTATGTTCGACGGCCTTCTTAAAGAATTAGAGGAAATAGCTCCGGGACAATATGCAGCTTACGCGGACGATTTAATAACAGTAATTAGAGGAAATTCGCGAAAGGAATTAGAACTGAAGGGTCAAATAATCGTTGATAGGATCGTAAATTGGTGCAAGTCCGCGAAATTGGAAATTTCGGAAAAAAAGACAGAAGCGATAGTATTGAAAAATAAAGATATATGTAGAGCACCGATTGGTAGAAGGGGAGGAGACCGCCCGGATAGGAAGCGGAAAACGAATACAAAAAAGGTAGACCTAGCAGGAAGACCCCCAACGATAAAAATAGGAGATAAAAGTATTAAATTCAAGAATTCCGTTAGATATCTCGGTGTCCATTTTGATAAAGGTATGAAAGTAGGGTGTCATTGTGAATATTTGAAAAATAAAGTAGAGTCACTATTCGCGAGATTGGGTAAGTTAGCTAGATCTACATGGGGTCTAAAATATAGGGCGCTCTCGACTATTTACAGGGGAGTGTTCGCCCCAACTGTGGCGTATGCCGCAGCGGGATGGGCAGACCTCTGTACGGAGCGCGATATTAGGAAACTACAAAGTATACAGCGCAAAGTGCTTATTCCGGTGGTAGGCGCGTATAGAACCTCGTCGCGGGAATCATTGTGCGTTGTCGCTGGTGCGACCCCTGTCGAAATCCTCCTCCAGGAAGGCAGGGCTAGGTATGAAATTAGAAGAGCTAGGGACACCGTGATAGGAGAAGCTAGAGTCGCAGCGACAGATGAGGATGCGGTGAAACGCATCAAGGCAGAGGGTAGGAGGATGTGGCAGGCCAAGTGGAGCTCTTCGACGAAAGGCCGTACCACTTTTTCGTTTTTCAGAAACATCTCTGGGAGGATGGGCGCGCGGTGGATTCAACCTGACCGTTGGAGCGCGCAGGTGCTTACGGGTCATGGCGATTTCCGAGCACGCCTTGCGTCGCTCGGACTCGTCGACAGCGGCGCCTGTGACTGTGGCGGCGGTGAAGACACTGTACCGCACTTCCTTCTGGAGTGCAAAAGATTCGAAGCGCAGAGAGTCGCTCTGCGCGATATAGTAGGGGCTGACAGTTGGAGATGGCCGGAAGTAGCACCTTTCTTGGTGCAGACTCCAGAGGCCTTTTCCCTGTTCAGCGATTTCTGTAGAGAGTCGTTATGGATTAAGCAATCCGAGCAATAAGTAGGCGGGGGAAAAGTAATAAGTGTAGCGCGCGATATAAAAATAAAAATAAAAATAGATTCTGGGCCATTCACTCGGGGTGCGTCGGAGCCCTCGGGCGTGGGAGCGCAGCCTCGTAAACTTCTCGGGTCAACTGCGTTACCGGATGGTTAGGTATAGGAATTAGTCTTCTGTTAGGTAGGATTTCCAACCTTAATATCCAATGACGTGTTTGTCATATCCTTCCCAACAGTTTCATCCAAACCTCATATTCCTTCCCAACAGGGTCAGAGCGCGTGTCCAGGTACGGGACACGAATGAGCAGGCCTCCCCGTGGTCCCTGTAGGCGTGGCTAGGGTGCAGGGGGCGGCGGCTGGGCGCGTCCATCAACGCCAGGTGGGTAGTGTGTCCTGTTCGCTTCTCCGGGTGTGCAAAGGGGTGGTTGCACCAGTCATGGCTGAACTGCTCATCCTGCGTGCGAACCCGCAGGCGCTGCTGGATTTTTCTATCGCCCGGCTTTTGGGGTTTCGTTGGACAGTGGAGAGTATTGTGGCGTATAGCGTTCAACGCTCAGGTAGCAGGGGTTTTGTTCCTTTCGCGGTTCAACACCCTCACAATGAATGTCACACTGTGTGTGGCGTATAGCGTTCAACGCTCAGGTAGCAGGGGTTTTGTTCCTTTCGCGGTTCAACACCCTCACAATGAATGTCACACTGTGTCATCTGTGTAACTTGTTGGAAAACACCCTATACTAGGTGCGCAACTAAGTTTCCGGGTTTTACACATGGATGGCGCTAACGATACATGTAGTCGATATACATGTCTAAAGTTGTGTTTTTTTATTAACTTGGACATCTGTCAACAATAACCAGTCATAATACCAACAGATATCGCAACGCAAAAATATTTTTCTAACAAGAAAGATGTCGAGTTTTGTGCCAATAAACAGCATTTGCGGGAAGCTTTGCTTTTCTGCTTCAACTTGAAACAAAATGCAGCTGAAGCACGTCGTTTGCTTGAAAAGCCTACGGCGAACATGCACCATCGAAACTACCTGTGAAGATTGGTTTAAACGCTTCAGAAGTGGCGATTTCGACACTGAGGACAAGGAGCGCTCCGGA